AAAAAAAAAACATTGCATGAAAAATGGAAAATCTTGTGGTAAAAATGGAAATTACGTGTGGAATTACCGTCCAGTCCTTCGTAAATAAATAAATCCAATGCAGGCGCTTAAGCCCATCACAGGAAACCAAACCAAAACCCTTCCTCTCTCTCCCAAAACCTCCCCTTCTATTTTCCACTCCCCAAAATGTTGAGGTACGTGGCGAAATCCGCCTCCGCCAAGCAGCTTCTCCGCCGGAGCTACTCTACCGAGTCTGTCCCCAACCGGAAAGTCGCCGTCTTGGGCGCTGCCGGAGGGATTGGGCAGCCTCTTGCTCTTCTCATGAAGCTCAACCCCCTCGTTTCCAGACTCGCTCTCTACGATATCGCCAACACCCCTGGCGTTGCCGCCGATGTCAGCCATATCAACACCAGATCTGAGGTCTGTAACCACTCTCTCCACATTTTTGTTTTCGATTTACCTTGATTGTTTTCTGATTCAAGATATTGACTTCCATTTTCGTTAACCTGTTTGCTACAGGTTGCTGGGTACGTGGGTGAAGAACAGTTGGGGCAAGCTTTGGAAGGATCTGATGTTGTCATCATTCCAGCTGGTGTGCCAAGGAAGCCTGGCATGACCCGTGATGATCTTTTCAACATCAATGCTGGGATTGTCAAGAACCTCTGTACTGCAATTGCTAAATACTGCCCCAATGTTAGTATCTATGCCTTTTTGTTTGGCAAAAAGATTAATTATTTGTTTAGGACTCCTGTTCATTCTGATCTTGGCATTTGAGTATGAAAATGATAGAATCAATTCCGCGTAATTGGGTTAATTCTGGAGGGGATTGTGATACGAATTAAATCTCAAAATATGATATGCTGATAAATTCTGTCAATATTCAGGATGCCGTTTTGTTTCTTCTCGCCTGCTGTATGTATAGGACAATAGGAAATTTCTATACTTTAGAAGATTTATTTGGCCGAAACTGGGTTGGCCTTGTAATTATCTTTTATTCTTTTGTATGCTTTAAAGCTGTTTTTGCTGGCTTTTTGATGAATTGAATTTATGGAGCAGGCACTGGTTAATATGATAAGCAACCCTGTCAACTCAACAGTCCCAATTGCAGCTGAGGTTTTCAAGAAGGCAGGGACTTATGATGAGAGGAAATTGTTTGGTGTAACTACACTTGATGTTGTTAGAGCCAAGACTTTCTACGCTGGCAAGGCTAAAGTACCTGTTGCAGGTTTGCTTCATTTTCTATATCTAAAACCAGAACCTGTAGCACCATGCTTGTCT